TCTGGTGTACTTGCGTCAGCACAGATGAGTCGAACAGCCCCTTCATACTGAATAAGCTGATAAAAGCAATTGATCTCATCATTTTCCATTTGTGGGCTTGAGTGTCTCCAAAGGTTGGTCCCTCCATGCAGTCTTAAAACACCTTAAATATGGTGGAGGACTTGCCTGGCTCCTCTTCTCTGGGCCGTCTTTCACCCTGGTGGAAACCAGTCCAGATGAAAACAGGTTTATGGGAATTTTGGAAAACCTATATTTTTTGGGTATAGGTATCAGTAACGTTAGCGCATCCTTTGAAAACAGCCTCAAGGTTTCTGGGTGATATTTTCTACTTACCTTTGGTAGCAGTCTCTGAGTACTTAGGAGAGAATGAATGCATAAAGAGGAGACACTGTGCTTTTCCCCAGCAAAGGGGAATTCCTTGATCATCTTTTTTCGGGCAAATTCGAGCATGTTGTTCCTTTTGCTTTCATATTGTAAACCTACACATCCTGTCCTCATTCCTATAGTAACGAAAGAGCTTTGCTCGGGCGTGCTGGCTTCTCGTCAGTGGTCTTTGTCTTCCCTCCCAGGAAACAGTTTGAATGTGTCAGAAGAGTCCCAGTTCCTCAGAACTGTGTCTGGCCAAGAACCTGACCAAGCTGGTCTGTAGTATTCCTCATTAAAAGCCTGATTCTTTCCTCCCCAAAAAACCAGAGTAATCTGTGAACAGTAACAAAGGTTTAATTGTGGGGACTTGGCAGAATTGCCTATAAATGAAGTGCTTTTTTGGAAGCTACATTGCCTGTCTTGCAGATCAAAAAATAAATGCAAAGTATTTCAATGCGTATCAGTGGATTAATTCATTTGATTGCCACTTCCCTTCCTCTTCTCTTTGTGGGGAGGGGCGCTCCAGAGATTGCAATTTTAATTGCTTGACCGCAGTTTCTAATTAGTGGTGCACCAAAAGGTCATGGATCATTAATTAGTACTGAATATAAGGATCTCTGAGGTTGAGCTATAGCATCAAATGGATGAGTTTAGACAACTCTCAGCTGAAATTACAGTCTATCAGTAAATTGAGTTGTAATAATGAGACCATGAGAATTTTTGCCTCAGCCCTTGCATGTTGGTTTCTCTGTTTGCGGAGTACATTCTGGTGGTCTTAGAGAATATAGCATTTTTATATAAAGAGATACTTAATATTTACATGTATATTATAAATATGTAAATATTCTGAAGGCATATATATACATGCCTATAGAATAGTTATACATAACTCAGAGTCATTATACAATGGCATACCTTATTTAATTTTAGTAAGTGTTTTGGGGTTTTAATCCATTAGGTAGTTTCATTGGCAATATATAAAAACAGTGTTCTCTACAGCTGCTTTCAGTCAGTACTTGGATTTGTGCTACTGTATCCAAAGGGAAATCTAGCTCTTGAGTGTAATGGTCTGAGAACAGAATATTATCCACATTATTACTTTAATGTCCAATAGTCAGTATCATATTCTTTCTGTGTTTAAAACTTGATGATGGAAGTGAATTGTATAACTTCAGTTATACATTAACATTGCTGCATTCAAGATTCTCAGATAGTGCAGTGTGGAATAGGAATATGCCTGTAATACGTACTGGTATCAGCTTGTTTCCTGCTAGGTTTATTAAGAATTGGTTAGTGGACAGACTGGAAAATGTAGACACGTGTGGGGTCACCATAAATTGCTGTGTGTGTAGTAGGGTTGCTGGTGCATTGGTATGAAACAGAGTGTTCTGCAGCATTTGCATTCAGACTTTAGAGGTAAATAGGAAATAATTGCTGATAAAACTTATGAATCATCTGAACAGCGTGTGCCTTGTTTCAGCTAAATTCACAAACTGGACTTTGGTTATGGACATGTAATTATGGATGTTGATGGGGCAAATGGAAAAACAGTGGCTCTGAAATTTAACTAATACAAAAAATTATATAAATGGATCAAGTTCTGCCACCTGTTCCATTCCCATATTCCATTTGTGCATTTATGTGTATCCCTTTGGGGGCTTTTAAGATATTAAACACATTTGAATATGCAAGAGCCATAAAGTGTGGTTTGTAAAACCCAGCAGAATTCAGTGATGAATCTAGAGAGCTGTGCTTGTATTTAGTGGGAAGTAGGAAGTAATTAATAGAAAACTACTAAAATGCATTTGTTGTTTTTACAGAAAACCTATATTCGCTTTATTTTTTAATTCTCCTGTATTATTTTGTAAGATGATGGTGTTCAGCAGTTTACCAGTATATTAATGGGTCTTTATTCATGTAAGCCTCTGGGGCTGAGCAGTCATCTCCTGTTGAGAGTTAGTAGAAGCTGGATGCCTGGAGTTCAGAAGTTGGCAGGAGTTTTCATAGGACGTTTTTCCTCAAGGTAATTTTCTTGGCTTTTGCTGTGTTTGAAACTCAGTTTCTGGAAAGAGGGTTGTGTTTCTGCTCTCTCCTCTTGCTCCTGCTTCCTCTTTCATGGGAGTTTCTGAAACGGTGCAGCTGCCTGCCTTGAATTCACCGGTGCATCGCACGGAAACTTGGCTTCTTGGCACATGGAAGGGATGGCTCTTTTCTTCTGTCCCCGTCTCCAGGGAATTAAATTCACAGTTTGTGTTCCTGCTTAGGTTTAGAGCCAAATTTTTCACTTCAGCTTCCTTCCTCCCCCTGCCCCTCTCTCCTTTCCTTAATTAAAAGATGCTTAGGTCGAATGCATATAGCTGCAGCTGAAAAAGGATGAAAATAGCCCAGATGAAATAGCTACATGATTGAGACCTGAACCTTTATTTAGCATCACATTTGCTGGTGTGTCACTGTAATGGAGTTCAAAAGCTGACTGGATTACTTTTTGCAACAGATTAGTTAAAATCTCTCATTTTAAAGGGAATGAAATTTTGTTTGCAGTCAAACATGATTTTTACAGCTTCAGCTGTTCCTCCCATCTAAGTGGATGGCAAAGTCGTATTCATTCAGTGTAAACAGGAATAGATACACCACATCTGTATGTGTTCAGTCTCTCTGTTTCCCAAAGGCTATGCACACATCCAAACTGAGATGCTGACTGCTAAAATGAGTGTCTGTATGGCACTGACTAAAGCGGCTCATTTTCAGCACCTTTAGAGTCAGGTAATTTATGGAGTGCCCAAGGATGAGCACTGCTTCTCAGACTTAGGTGACACAGGTTTTTAGATAATGGACTCCAGGTAGGTGTCTGCAAAAAGATGAAAAAATCAATCTCAGCACCCTTTGCCTTAAATAGTTTCTGGAAGCCTGGTAGAATCCCATGCCAGCTCTTCCCTGAGCGGGGAAGAAATTGAATTTCAAAAATGACTCAGAATAGTATGGGACAGAGAAATCAGATCAGCAGTGTTGGGTAGGACAGCATTTCTGATAGATCACAAATGATCTTTCTCACAGAGGAATATCCTGTAAAATACATGAGCACAGGAGTCCTTAATACTGAGGTTAACAGATTTTTTAAAAACAAGAGAGCGAGCAATGGCAAGATGTGCACTAAGGTGTTTCAGAGGGAAGATGGCAATAGATGCTCACAAAGCCTGGACTCTAGTTTTGCACAGGTATCTCTCTTGGTAAAGCTGTTATGATGTGCCTTGAAAATAGTGCTGCTGAAATTACTCACCTTATCTGTGGTTTTGACAGAAACACTGTTATTCTCCACTCCTCCGAACACTTCCCTTGCTTTCACTTTGAACTTAAAAACTTCAGTCTGCTTTCCCTAATTTGACCTCCTTCACCACAATGCCCTTTTGTAATTTACCCGTCTTTTTATTACTCAGTCATTCCCAGCTTCTTCATCCAAGCTAATATGGTGATCTGCACCGTTTGCTTGAATTCTCCTCTCACAGCATTTTAATAACTTCCCCAAATAAGTTCACGGTGCTCCTGCCCTTTCGGTTCGTGTTGTCGCTGTTTGAGTCATGGGTGCAATCAAGTGGCAATAGCTAGTTAGGCGGCCACAGCTGCGTGTGTTGGAGATGATACACATTTAACCAGGGTGCTTCAGTGTGAGGTCTTCTCTTGGTTGAGCTCCACCAGGTTTGTGGAGGAGAAGGAGACTGTGGCTAGCAGATTTGCCAAGCACGTGAAAAACAAAAGTGATCTTGAACTGCCAAAAGAATCAAAAACAGGGAAAATGTTGCAATATTTGCCTGCATAAAGAGGCGACTATGAAGTATGACTGTAAAAGAGGTATTGATTTTTGCATACATTAAGATCATTTGGGAATCCTACATTCACTTTTCCTATCCATACTGCAGAAAGGCGTTGGAAGAGGCTGAGAAGAGATCTAATCTGACACCTCCATTCTCACAAAAGGCTCAAACTCAATTTTATTTCCCCAAGAGAAGGCTAAGAGGTGAATTGGTTTTTGTTTACTCCATATATAGAGTATATATATACACATATATATATACACATGTTTATATACATATATACATAGATATATGTACAAGTAGATCAGCTAAAACTGCTTCCCAGCAAGCAGAAATAGCTCTTGAGATCAGTGGTGGGACACTGACAAGTGTGAACCAGACGTGAGATGTGAGTTTTCAGCACTGGGAGTATTGCTGGAACATTTTAGATAGGGGAATAATTCACTGTCCCTTGGTTGAATGTCTGTCTTAAAAAATTCCCTATACCTCAGCCAGCTCACAACTTCTGTATGTAGGAATCGATGCATGAGGACTTACAGCTGTTGACTAGAGGTTGGGTGGCTCTCCTGGTCTTACACTAGCTATATGTTCTTATTTCGCCTGTTCTGTTCTTTTCCTTCATTTTACTCATTGCACCATACTGAGATGGGCAGCAGCCAGATCTCCATCTTCTGTATTTGCACAGCTTCCAATGCCATGATGCTGGATGAGGAGAAATAATAAGCAGCGCTGAGGGTCATTAACAGTTCAAAGAACTCACATGTGATACAACTACCGAATATCCATTTATTTATTACTTTCCTTTTTCTTTCTTTTTTTCCATAGTGAAGTACATGAGAGAAGCAACTCCCTATGTGAAGAAAGGCTCTCCTGTTTCAGAAATTGGGTGGGAGACGCCTCCCCCCGAATCTCCCCGCTTGGGTTGTGCCTCTGCTGACCCCCTGTCGCAGCTTTCGCTCTCCATCCACAGAGACAAGAAGACAATACCGCTCAAGATGTGCTACGTGACGCGCAACATGACGGTGTCAGACCCCGAAAACAGGTGAGCGAAGGATTTGCCTGGGGCTGGGATTTTGCCTTCATGTTGAGTCATTGTTGGCCTTTTCAGCATAGGTGTTGGTGAGGAGGAGCTGGTCATAGGCTCTGGCCGCACAGAGCAACCCAGCAAGGGGCAAGCAAGCACCACTTTGGGAAGGGTGGGTGGTGGTGTTTGAGCTGCATGGTGCTGGGTTCAGCTTTTGGGTTGTGCTAGACTCTTCAGTGCAGTAATCCAATGTTTTTATTAGAAATAGAATGACAGGGGTTTGTTTTCATCCTGACTAAGTGTCTGCTTTTGAAGGAAAAGACACTGTACACAATTAATTGGTTACATCTTCCAGGCTGGCTTAATCTAATTCCGCTAAATTGCATTTTCTTTTCTTTTTAAATGAATATTATTTTAAGAATGGCCTGTTTTGTCCATTCAGTTCTGGGCATTAAAGTCAAGAATAGGAGAAAAGTTCCACTTAGAAGGCATTAATGAGGAATTTCTGTGACTTCTTTTTTTCTTCATAATGTTAAAAATAGGATAAACTTTTACCAGCCCTTATTTAAAACACATGTGGAACAGCTGCACCACACCAGCAGACTCTCTGATCCCTTCTCTAACAGCTGCTAATAAAAAATGGACCAGTCAAGTTAGTAATACAGACTGATTCTTCCATCCAAGTAATGGCCTTTTTGTTTTTCTGCAGCGTGGTGGCTTGCCCAGAAGCTGGGTGTAATGCCTTTGATTCCCAGCACTTATGTGGGCATAAATAAAAGTTATATTTTCATCTTCAGAGAAGGATAAGGAGAAGGGGAGAGAGCAGAAGGGGGTTTGGGGAGGACGGATTCCCCTGTTATCCATTGCACTGCAATTTAGAAACGTTATCAATATCTGTGTAATTTTCCTTCTTTTTTTTCTATATTTGTCTGACCTTCTTTTAGGTACACGCCCCCTGTCCCCGCTTTATTGTTTAGTATTGCTTTACTTTGCTTCTACTCTCCGTCTCACCAAGTGGTTACCACCATAGTCTGTGATAACTGGCCCCTAGAGAAGTGCAATTGTAAAACAGCAATTATCCTAGCAGTCTTTCTCAAGTTAAAATCAAGGTGGTTATTGATATGGGCCACTTTTTTCCACATATATCTGTTTAGTTTAAGTTATTGAGATTTGGCAGCTGTATCATTAGCCTGAGAGTTTGTGGTTCTCTCTGCCCTAGAGTGTATTTTAAAAATACCCACGCAGGTTGCATTATTTGAATCAGCACAACGTAACGATGCTTTGTGCATATTGGCTTCATTCTTTCAGTTCTTCCCTTCTTTGTTTTTTTTGTTTGTATTGTAGTTCTCAGCTTCGGTCACTCTCCTAGTCCTCAGTTTCATTTGAAGGCCAGAAGGACTGATTCCGAAGGACACACACTCACTGCTCATCACACTTCTGTGATGCAGCTAGCTTTTTTGAAGCGTGCTACAAATGTGTGTGTTCTTAGGTGTTACTAGGAAGTAACGCGTGGGAGTCATATTACTTATTATCATGGTTTTCATTTCGTGTTACTGTCATTTCCTGTGGAAAGACTGACTTCTGATTTTTACAGTAGTCCGACACAGTGCAGCGTACAGTCTCAGCTGGATTTTTCCATCCAAGATCGCAGTACCTCACCATCGCGCTAGCTGCAGTGTGATAGTCGCATCCCATTGATTTGGGTCTTCACCATTTTTAACAATTCTGAATACTAGAACTGATGTTTCCCAGTAGAAATCCTATTACAATGCAGCGACCCTTTCCCACCGGAATATATCCCAAGATAGTAATCTGATTCCACAAAAATAATTTGATCTTTTTTCACAGCAGAGCCCAAACCATGTCTTTACATGCTTATGACACTTCTGGTTTATAACCCAGTGACCTGACACACATAAATCTTATAACTGATGGTATCACTTTGCTGGCGGCTTTGGAAGAGCGCTGCTGGCAGGCTGTCAAAGCATATGCTGGCCATAAAAGGGCTCCTTTGGACTATAGCTGAGCTAATTGTCGTCAAAGACCAAGCGTGGACATAGAAAGCGTGAGTTTTCCAGTGCAGATGTTTCTCCAGTGCAGGCTGGAGATCACGTCACAGCAGCTTTGTGGGACCAGGCTGAACTGGTCTGACATTCAGCATGAGAAAATACCGATGTTAAAGGACCCAGGAGGAAATACCTGCTTGTTGGCTCTGAATCATCTCCAGTTCTTAGAAAGCTGGGGTGAAATGTGGGTTTAACGGGCACAGAGAAAGTTACACATCTCTTTCTCCCACTAGAGCTGGTAGCCCTGCATAGGATTTCTGCTTCTCCTTGAAGACTGGCCCCAGTTAAGAGACTCCTAAGTCTGTGTCTACGCTCAGATGGTTTGATGAACCTGTTATT